TCCATCTCTCCATCCATCCATGTTCCTATCTACCAATCCATCCGTCTGTCCATTCATCCTTGCATCTGTCTGTATCCATTTTCTTACCATCCATCCATCCATCCATCCATCCATCCATCATCCATCCATCCATCCATCCATCCAGTTATCTACCTATCTCTCTATCCATCCACTCACCTGTCCATGTCTCTGTCTAAATCTACATCTATCTGTCTGTCTGTCTGTGAGTTGACCATCACTGGGATGTAACAGACGTTGTTTGGTGGCTTGCTGGCTGTTTGGAAGTGAAGGCTGGGATTTCGGGTACCCACTTTCTGAGGGTTGAGATTTAGGGTACCTGGTATCAGAGGGCCACCTTTCCATCCAGAATGCTCCCTCATAGACCTGCACCTGTCTTCCTTTACCTGTTGGAACAGGAAAGTGGCCTCAGCACTGGACGGAGCGGCCCTACCTGTGTGCCACCCCTGCTCGACGCCCACCTGTCACGGTGCCCGGCACACGTGGTGACGTCCACTCCCCTGTGACCTCTGTGGACCCATGGAACCAGGAGAGGCGAGTGGAGGGGGGACTCTGGATACCCTCTTGCTGGACTTTGGACACCTGGCTGCCACCTGCATCGTTGGAAGTTCTAAAAACAGTCCAGAAACAAACAAACAAGACAGCTGGCCTGTGGATGGTTGCTGTGTTAGCAATTATGTTTTGTCTTCTCCTGTGCTGCGTGCCTTACCTTCAAACACCTTTCCGTTCCAGTACAGCAGGCCCCATCCAACCGTCTTTTCCTGCGGGTCTCCTCCTGCCTGCTCCTGAAAAAATGCACATTTTTATATTCTACAGACTCTCCTCATGTCTCCTACCAGGCGTGCTTGCACCCCCTGCTAATCTGTCCTCATGGGGGACAGAAGAAGGGGGAGAGAACAATCCTCAAAAAACGATGAATAGGGCATTTTTTTTCATCATCTCATATGCACTGTAGTTATTTATGAAAAGAGAAAATGAATTATGCGACAGAACGTCTCTTTGTTTATATGGTTTGTTTTTGTGTGTGTGCTTGTGATCGAAGTTATACGGCGTCCAGGTCTTTGAAGGACAAAAAAAATGGCTTTTTTTATTTAAGCAATTTCTATCTCAACATATTGTTAATGTGTCCTGGACGTTTCCTTGGTGGTGTCAGGAACCCTTGTGCAAAGTTGGGGTGTGTTTCAATCTCTCCCCCAAGATTTATCTCCCACGCACACGGAGGACACACTTGATGCCGAGTCCACTGTGTCTGTCCACTTGAGAAAGAGGCCGAACAGGGGGGCTTCACTGTTAACCAGAAGCTCACAGGTTCGAGACCAGAGACGCTGTAGAAGAAATTCACGCTTATCAAATATCATTATTTCTTCTTTTCCTCCTCCTCTTCCTTTCTTCTTCTTCTTCTTCTTCTTCTCCTCCTCCTCCCTCTTCTCTCCTTTCTCTGTCTCTCTCTGTATGTTGGTCTCTCCTTCTCCTCCTTTTTCTTCTTTTCTGTCTGTCTGTCTCTCTCATACACACACACACGTGTGTATAAACCACAATGAATGAAAATCTGAAAACCAAACCTCCCACTGGGTTCAGATTCGTGGCTGACCCTGTGTCACAGACAACGGCTCGTGAGTTTGAACCGCTGACCTTGTGTCTAGCAGCCTGGCCCGTTTGGATGGGCCTGGCCACCAGGACACACGTCACTTTTATGAAACAAACAGACAAACAGGTGCAAATGACGGGTGGGCACCTGAGCTAACCTTCTTTATGCAGCCTTGGCCCCAGTTTGACCGCCCGGCCTCCTCCCACCCCCCACCCCCTCGTCCTTTCCCTGGTGGCTTTTGTCATGGACGTCCACTGTGGGCAGGAGGCCTTGGTGTCCACTGTCAGCAGGGGTCCTTAGCTGGGGCGCTGGGGTTAACATTCAGGCACCCAGACAGCTCAGGGGCCAGTTCTTGGATCTGCTGGCCTCTCCCTCACCCCTGGCCCTTGGCCGTTCTGCAGGGCCGTCCACTCTCTGTCCTCTTTAGCCTGGCCCCTGGCATGCTCGGACAAGGATCCCAAGGCTAGGTCATTTAGCTTGGCCTAGGATAGCCCTCCGTGCAAGCGGCCCTTCACTCTGAAGGGGTCCACTCTTAGCTCTGTTTCTCTCTTTCCTGATCTGTTTCTCTCACCCCATGCATTCTCTGATCTCCTACCCCTTTCTGTCTCTGTCTCTCTGTCTGTCTGCCTCTGTCTCTCCTCTCTCTCTCTCTCTCCTCTTTTTCCTCTCATCTCTCTCTCTCCCCCCTTTTTCTCTCTGACTGTCTGTCTCCCTGTCTCTTTGTCTTTCTCCTCTCCTCTCCTCTCCTCTCCTCTCCTCTGTCTTCTCTCTTCTCTGTCTCTCTCTCTCTCTCTCCTGGCTGGCCCAGTGGCAAGGAGTCACACTGTCAACTCCACGTCAGAGGATTTGAATCCATCAGCAGCTCCATGGGAGAAAGACACGCAATTTCCTGTACCGTTGTCCATTTCTGAAAACCCACGAGTGCATCCACTAAGTGGAGTTGGAAAATCTGTTCAGACTTGAGGGCAGTGGATTGGGATGTGTTTCTTCTCTCTCTATCTGTCTCTCTCTCTCTCTCTCTCTGTCTCTCCTCATCCCCTATATTTCACTCCATCGCTTTGTCTCTCCCCTGTCTGTCTCTCTGTGTCTATTTCTTTCTCTTTCACTCTTTCCTCCTCCCCTGTATTTCTCTCCATGTCTCTGTCTCTCTCACTCTCTTTCTCTGTCTTTATTTCTCTCTCATCTCTCTCCTCTCACTCTATCTTCTTCTCTTCCCTTCTCTTCCCTTCTCTTCTCTTCTCTTCTCTTCTCTTCTCTTCTCTTCTCTCTCTTCCCCTCTTTTCTCCTCTCTCCTCTCTCTGTCTCCTTTCTTTCTCTGTCTGTCTCTCTCTCTCTCTCTCTCCCTCTCCCTCTTCCCTTTCTCTCTCTCTATCTCTCTCTGTGTCTTCTGTCTATCTGTCTCTGTCTCTCTCTCCTCTTTCCTTTCTCTTTTCTCTCTCTGCATCTCTCTCCCTCTGTACCAATTTCTCTCTCTCTCCCCATCTCTCTCTCTCCTTTCACTCCCCATCTCTCTCTCCCATCTCTTTCTCCCTCTCTGTCCCTCCCAGATTGAAGATGCCCCTTATCACAGCTACCCCCCCATTCCCAGGACACACGCCTAGCCCATGTCTTCTCTTTGGGGGCCTCCTGACTCTCCCCTACGTTGGCTCTGGAATTCTTTCTCTTTGAACCCTAGCGGGATGACGCAACCGACCAATCCCCCCACTTAGGGTCCCGTCCACCTTATGTGTACCATCCGCCCTGTCCAGGGTTCTATGTACTTTCTTTGTATCCTTACCAATCTGTCCAGTCTCCTTGGTGGGCCACAGACACCTTACCGCCGTGGTTTCCGATTTCACCCAACTCACAGCGACCCTGTGGACAGTAAATCCAAGCCCTGTCCTGTCTCCTCACATATTTATGGGCATGTGGTCAGGAGGAGGGGCAGTCCTTGGAGAAGGACATCGTGCTGGTGAAGCTGGATGGTCAGAGACAGAGAGGAAGACCTGGGACAGACAGAGTGACCCCAGCCATGGGAGTCTGTCAGATAGAGTGAGGACAGGTCAGAATAGGACAGTGTCCAGATCTTTTGTTCACAGGGTCTCTGTGAGTCTGGCTTGACCAGACAACATCTAACTGATACCGGTAGTTTTAGAGACATATTCACACTTTGTCAACATCCCTTAACTTTTATTTGCCAAGTCAG